GTGGGAGATTGCTCTCCCACTGCTGCCCAGTTACATGTTGGTTTCCATACATGTAAAATTGAAATTCCGGTGGGAGATTGCTCTCCCACTGCTGCCCAGTAGGTTGGTTTCCATACATGTAAAATTGAAATTCGAGACTCACAGTTCTTGTTGGCTTGTGTCAGCAAAGACAATGTGATGCTGAGGATTAAAGCACCCAAATACATGTACTGTTGCCATTACCGAGGAGGAGGGTTGAGATACTATTTGTAGAAGGAGTCAGTGTTACACTTAAGCATGGTGAGTGACAGTGCCTTTGTTCCAAGGTGCACTGTAATTCCAGCAGAGTGCACAGTTTTCCAGAGCAGTGATCCTGAGTTCTGTAAGCCTCAAAAGAGTCATGTGCTTGTCACTGCTCAGTGTGTATGAATCGGTCCTGTACCTTAAAATTGCTGTGCCCAGTTTAAGGGCATTTCTAAGGTTAATTATTATTTTCCATTTTATTCATTCAGTATTTTAACCTTTTGACTTTTCAATTTGCACAACAAAAATGCTGTTAGCTGAGGTAGATTCATTAGCAAAGGTTAATTACGTTAATTATGCCCTGCATTGTGTCTGCTTGGCGCTTGCTTAGCTCCTTGCCCCATTGCTATTGTGATTGGTGGGACTTTGTTCCAAAGACGTTGTCTCAAGACTCAAATTCTGAATAGAAGGAGGAATTTGAAGTGTATTTATAGTAGGGATGCTTGTGTGACTGGGATATCCCTTGCTACCTGAAAGTTCTTCCAAGTTTTACTGTACTGCTTGAGAAGAGTGACCATTTTTGTGCGATCAAACCAAACTATGTATTTGCTCTTAATTACTGTAAATGGCATACTCAGAAAATGCCCCTTTGGGGCTCATTGTTCCAAACAACTCAACTTGGAGAAATGGAAATTTCTACTTCTGCTTCTCAATCTGCTTTCTTGTGTATAAGCGAATACTCTGAAACTGCTTTAAGAGTATCAGCTAATGAATTTGCTTCAAACGTGAATCTGAAAAAGGACTCCTTTCCCTCCTATGATATACACGCATTTTTTACATAAATAAAAAGAGTTACCAGTTGTAGAAGGAAACTGAAGAAGTTTTGCTTCTTTAGTAATTTTGTTTTGAGGATATGGTAGGCACTTCATTATAATTTTAAATAGGAATTAACATAAGACTTAGCAAGTCAGAAAGTAATTTTCTCTTTATTTCCTGTCCCATATAGTCAGTGATTGTTTGAAAGGGGTCTTTTAGTCATAGTTTATAAACAGATACTAAATCTGTATGTTTCTTCTAAAGTCTGTACATTTTGATTTTTCCAATAATGTGCAAACAAACAGATGAGTTCTGAAAAACCATCTTCCGTAATTGTGTTAATGAAAGGTTCTCAGTAGCATCAGACAAGATCATCATTATCAAACTTTGATTAGCAAGAAAATCCAATGCTTTTGAGCAAGAGAACCTTGCCATGTAGTCCTATTATTTCAGAATTACCCATCACTTGAATCAGAGGACTGGAAACATTGTTGAGATGGTGAGTTCACTGGCTCTTTCAGAAAGATCTTTTGAGACCTTTTCTTGTTTGCTGTGAATCGTAAGGA